CTTCCATGACAAAGAACAACTGAAGAAATTCATGACCACCAAACCAACCCTACACAAAATACTGAAAGACATTCTAGAGAGAGATGAAAAAAAAAAACACATGGTTCCAGGAACAGCAGCAGAGAGGGATCACAGAGCAGGGAAGACAACCGAATGGAGGAGGAAAATTAGGCAGCCAATGGTAGGAAAATAGATAAAACAGTGCAGAGATAAATCAGTGCATGTTGGTCATAACCATTCATGTAAATGGCTTCAATTCACCAATAAAAAGAAACACAGGCAGAGTGGATCAAGAGAAAAGATCCATCAATATGCTTGTTGTAGTCAGGGGATGTACATAGAGAACAATCAGGATTAAGACATGGAGTTTATATTATTTTTATAATGGTCACCTGGAGTTAACACAAGAAAATGCAGGAAATCTATCTGCAACACCAAAGACATAGATTATTTAGTCAAGAACCTAAACCCCACGGCAATGTCCCACATGAGTCCAGATAAAAACCCAGAGCTCAGGACAGTGCCTCCCATGAGTCCAACTGGAGTTCCAGAGCCCATAAGAAGGACTCACGACAGTCTCTTTTACGGATCCATGCCGGGAAGACCCAAGGGTCAGCGGTGGGAGCCAGAAAGTCCATGCTAGCAGAATAAAGGAGCTGTGCTAGTAGGATGAGGGTTCTACGCTGGAGCCGAGAAGTCACACACAACAAAGACCAGGGCTATCCTGAAAGGCAACACAGCCATCCTCACGACATGGAGGCCCCGAGCTCCTCCAACGACAAGAACAGTCAGGTACATGCCAGGAAGCAGCATGATGAGTTCATCCTGGAGACCAAGCAGTACACATCTCCCCTCCAGAGCCAGGAAGCAATGCTCAATGTGAGGACCAGAGCTTCTCCAGAAGAACCAATGGCTCAAACAGCAACATGTAGGAGAACCCACAATGCTACAACACCTTAATGCCTCAACCCTCAATGCCTCCTTTTTCTCCACCTATTTATCCTGGAAACTTTCCCAGGTGGAGCATCTTTGCTCAGTGCCATGCTGATGTAATCCAGCTGGCATTAAGTTGACCACCAGTTCTTAATCCATAGCAATGCTTTATTCAAGAAACATTTAACTCAAAAAGAAATCATAGAGTAAAAGCCAAAGGAGAGAAAACAATGCTCTATATGACAGGGAATCAAAAAAAGTAGGAGTAGCTTGCCCCTCAACTGCAGAATGGATAAGAAAGGTATGGCATTTCTATACAATAGAAAGCTACTCAGCTATAAAGAAAGATAACCTCAAGGCTCTTGTAGGTAAATGGATACAACTTGAGATCATGCTTATGGGTGAAATGGTTCAGAGTCATATGGGTGAACATCATGTTGTCTCCCTAGTATAAAAACTAAAAGAGTTAGTGGAACCCAGAATGCACAATAGATGTTGTGAAGATAAAAGGGGAGGAGATATCTAGAAGGGGAAGGCAGTGGCCATTGTTAATCTACATCCTGTTTTGAAATCCTGTGTTGGGGCTGGGGATTTAGCTCAGTGGCATAAGCACCTGCCTTGCAAGTGTGTGGTTGTGAGTTCGATCCCCGGTACGGATAAAAAAGAAAAAGACAAAAAAAAAAAAATTCTGTATTGTTTTCATTGTTCTGTTTAGCTTGGTTTTATTCTGTTTTGTTTGATTTTATCATATTTGATGGCATGGACAGCTATTTCAAAAATAACAAAATGTATTATGGTAGCCATTCTTGATTTCCAATTATCTTGTTTTGAAGCCCTGTATTGCTTCACTTGTTTTCTTTTGATTTTTATTCTATTTTTTTTTCTTTCTTTTTTTTTTTTTTTTTTTTTTTTTTTTGTCTTTTTCCTTTTTATCGGTACCGGGGATGGAACTCATGACTGCCTGCTTGCAAGGCAGGCGCTTATGCTGCTGAGCTAAATCTCCAGCCCCTATTTTGTTTTGTTTGATTTTATTATGTCTGATGGTATAAGCAGCTACTTTGAAGATAACGAGATGCATTATGGTAGTACTGTTGTATTTCCTATTGTCTTGTTTTGAAGTCCTGTATTGCTTTCATTGTTTTGTTTTGATTGGCTTTAATCTGTCGTTTTGTTTGATTTTATTGTGCCTGATGGTATGGGCAGTTATTTTGAAGATAAGATGCATTATGGTAACCATTATTGATTTCCTTTTATCTTGTTTTGAAGCCTTATATCATGTTCATTGTTTTGTTTTCATTGACTATTCTGTTTTGTTTGATTTTATTATGTCTGATAGTATAAGTAACTGCTTTGAAGATAACAAGGTGCATTATGGTAACCACTGTTGTATTCCTACTGTCTTGTTTTGAAGTCTTGTATTGCTTTCATTGTTTTGGTTTTAATTGGTTTTATTCTGTTCTGTTTTGTTTGATTTTATTGTGCCTGATGGTATAGGAAGTTATTTTGAAGATAGCAAGAGGCATCATGGTAACCATTGTTAGTTTCCTTTTATCTTGTTTTGAAGTCTTGTATGATGTTCATTGTTTTGTTTTTTGTCTCTTTTCTGCTTTATATCTTCTAGTTTTACTCTTCAAAATAAAAAAATCAGAAGTAACAAGAATAAAAATTAAATGTGGGGTTTTATGGTACAAACTATTCTTTTTGTAAAGGCACACCCTTTACATTCTGATATGTTATGATTTCATTTCTATCTTTAGAGTTCTTTTGAATTTTTAAGCTCAAACTTTTAATTGCAATCCTTTAAGGCTTTTTGGTAGAAACTGATTCTACAGTTCATGTGGAAAAACAGTGTAGAGGACATAGAGGGCAAAACTTCAGAAATGAAAGACCTGAAAGAGTAGCACTACCTGTCAAGAGGTAAACTTGGATCCCCGCCTCATATGGTATACAAAAATGAACCCCCAAAAATCATAGTTCTAAATGTAAAGCCCCCAGGAGAAAGCCTTGATATGACCTTGGGTTAAGCAAAGCTTTATTACATATATCATCTTTTTTAAAAAAATGCAACCCGGCCTATAATCCCAGCACTCAGGAGGCTGAGGCAGGAGGATCGTTGTGAGTTCGAGACCAGCCTAGGCTACAAAGTGAGCTCAAGGCCAGCCTGAACTGCATATCGAGACCCTGTCTCAAAAAGATTAAAAAAAAAAAAAAAAAAAAGCACTCCCTGGTGCTGGGGGGTGTGGCTCAATGGTAGAGCACTTTGCTGGCAATGCTGAGGGCCTGGGCTCAACTCCTACCGCTGAAAGAAAAAAGAAAAAGGCTGGATATAGTGGCACATCCCAGTGATCCTACTCAGGCTGAGGCAGGAGAATCTCACATTTTAGGCCAGCTTGGACTACACAACATGACTCTTGCTCAGAAAAGAAAAAAAACCTGTGCTTTCAAAGTCATTTAAAAAATGAGAAGATAGGCTGGGGATTTAGCTCAATGGCATAAGTACCTGCCTTGCAAACACAAAGTCGTGAGTTCGATCCCCAGTATCCAAAAAAAAGAATGAAAAGATAAACCAAAGTCTGAGAAAATAATTTCAAATTATGTATGTAAGGACTGGTGTCCAGAATATAAGAAATAAAACCTCTTAAAACTTGAGAAAACAAACTTTTCTAATGGGCAAAATGATTTAAAAAGGTATCACCAAGGAAGAAAACATGAAATTTTTGTAAACAAGCTCATGGAAAAATGCTCATTATCATGACTTACTAGGGAAACACAAATTTAACCACAGAGACAAAACACCATCCCCTCATAGATGGGTTTTAATTGAAGGCTGCCTGTCCATCCCAGTGTTGGTCAGGAGGAGCAGGGGCTCTTACTCAGTGCCAGCAGCAATCTGGGGTGTGCAATCACCCTAGAAAATTGTTGGGTGGTTTCTTATAATGTTTAGACGTATGCCAGCTGTGGTGGTGTACACCTGCCATCCCAGCAACCTGACAGGCAAAGGCAAGACAGTGGCAAGTTCGAGCCTAACCTGGATAGTTTAGTGAGTTAGGGAGGCCTTATCTCCATTTTTAAATAAGATGGGTGCAGAGCTGGGGATTTAGCTCAGCAGCATAATCGTCTGCCTTGCAAGTGTGTGGTCGTGAATTCCATCCCCGGTACTGATAAAAGAGAAAAAGACAAAAAAAAAAAAAAAATTGTGCAGGGGGGAAGGTGTGGTGGCACACTCCTGTAATCCCAGCACTTGGGAGGCTGAGGCAGGAGAATTGTGGCAAATTCAAGGTCAGCCTAGGCTCCATAGTGAGTTCAAGGCCAGCCTGAACTATATAGCAAGATCTTGTCTAAAAAAACCTAAAAAATAAAAAGGTAGGGCTGGAGGACCTAGAGGCTGAGTCTGCAGTTCAGGGCAAAGTCCCTCCCTGGGTTCAGTCCTAAGTGTACACATGCGCATGCTTGCACGCACATACACAGAACAGTCTAGTCAGTGACAAAAGGCAGAGATTGCCTGGGGCAGGGGATGGCTGCTGCAGAGACACAGGGATTCTTGGTGGCCATGGATTGGTTTTGAGATTGTATCCCTGTATCAGAACTCATCACATGTACACTTCTCCCATTTTCCCCAAGAATTCTCACCACCAGCCAAGAGAACCCTGAAGCTTGCCATGAAAGATCTCACTTCCATTATTTTTACATCACTCTAGTACGTTGATAGCCTTTGGAAACAAAGACATGATAGCATTCTGCTTTTAGCAGTGGTATTTCCATTTACAAATTAGAGTAATTCCCAGTCACTGAAAATTAGATAAGTGCTGGCAGCAAACTGCATTTTTCTAAATAGGAAGTAGTATGTGTAGTTTCTTCTGCATTACCCAACTCTCCAGCACAGCTATAAAATAAATGTTTTTAGCTAAGCGACAGCATTCCGTGGCTTCTTTTCAGTCTTGAGAGGTGGTCTGAGTTTTTAGGACCTCAGAGATCTAAGTGTGCCTCAGGTAAGGCATGCATGATCCACTGCTTTCTGTGCATGTCATGAGCTCTTATTTGTGGTCTTCTGGTCTTTTCCACCCTAGTGAGCCGCCCTGTGCTGGGCTGCCGGGAACTGGTCTTCAGGAACCTCTCCAAAATCCTTCCTGCCATTTGTCACGACATCACCGACTGGGTCGTGGGAACCAGGGTAAAGTCCGCACAGCTACTACCAGTGCTGCTCCTGCATGCTGAGGACCACATCACACAGCACCTGGAGATCATCCTCAGGACCCTGCAGAGGGCCTGTGCTGACGAGGAGGCGGCTGTGGTCAGCAGTGTGAGTGGTCATTGCAGGTCGGGTTTGTGGGTGGTGAGTCCCAGGTGTGGGAGTCTGCAAGCTGTGAAAGGCTCATATCCATGGTTAGAGCCCAGCCCCTCCCATGTCCAGCCCCTGAGGATCACTGACCTGCAGCCCCGTGAAGTGATAGTGTGTTCAGGAAAATTGTCATTAAAGCTCCCTCAGGCACATGTGGCATCCATCACCAGGGCCAGGCTGCTGGCAAAGGTGCAGAGTGGCCCTGGGAATCTAGCTGCCACAGCCCATGGCACTCTGGAATCTGTAGGAATCTTGGGACAACTCTAGCATCAGTGTGTGGCCTCTCTGCTCCTTATTCTCAGATGTCCACTTGGCTACCTGCAGAGCAGGGGAAAGCCCAGAGCCTTGTGTTTCTCCAGCCCTGGCTCCCTGACCCTTGGTGGCATTGGCCAGCATGTGCTCCATGCTGCCAGATGGTTCACTGCATGAGGACACATCCTGGCACTTGAGAGAATGAGGTCATAGGCCAAAGCATCCACCTCATCTTGAGTCTTAAATTCCAGTGAAGCCTTGCTAATGGGTTTTGTTGTCACTATTTTAAGTCAGTTAGTGACTTAAAGTACATGCTGCAGTTCCACATTTTAAACTTACTTTGGTGTCACCTGTTTTTACTTTTCAAAAACTATCAATTTAAGATTTTATAAACGTTTTTATGGAAAACAGAGTTGATTCTTGGATATCAGATTTATCTCTAAAAGAGCCAAAGTTTTTCTGAGTTATTTGTTGTAAACTGTGTCTTCCCATACACTTTTTTTTTCTGAGACAGAGTTCACTATAGTTCAAGCTTGCCTTGAACACATGATGTGGTGCAGGCTGACTTCGAACTTACAGTGAACCTTCTGCCTCAGCCTCCCTTCTATTAGGATTATAAGCATGTACCACCATGTCTTCCACGCACAACTTTTGAACCTCTATCTTTCTCATAGAAAAAAGCAAATTTATTTTGCATTACCCATCTAATTTTCCAAGGGATGAAATGACCAGGTGGTGATAATACCCAGCAGACCCTAGTAGAGTTCATGTGTCCTCTCCCCATCCCAACAGCCTCGTAGAACAGATGTGGACACCCTAGCAGCACAGGCCTCAGCCACCCGCCTTTTGCTCCACCCTCCTGGCAGCTCTCACTTGCTCTCCATCTATTATTGTTGAGATCTAAAATGTCCCCTGAAAGTCTCCTATGTAGAAGGTGATTGGATCAAAAGGGCACTATTCTTACCAGTGGATTCATTCTCGGATGAGTTCATAGCTAAATGTGCTGTTCAGAGATGGGACCGGCTTAGAGGAAGTGGGTTATTAGGGGTGTCACCTGGAAGGGTGTATTCTTGTCCCTATCTTCCTTTGTTTCTCTCCGGCTTTCTGGTTGCCATGGATTGAAGAGCTTTCCTCCTTGTGCCCTCCACAAGCTAACTGTGGACTGAACTCTTTGAAAACATGAGCCAGAGAATCCTGTCCTTTAGTTTGTAGGTGTCAGATTTTGTCCAGCAATGAGACAGCTAACTAACACACTTACACTGCTATGTCGCATTGGGGTGTTGTAGGAGTGGGATCCCATAGTGTGTGGCCTGAGGCTTGCCCTTCTTCCCTCCATGCTCCCCGTGAGACCCAGTCCTAAGGTCTCAGCAGCTGTTCCTTCTCACTTCCCAGTAGAATTCCATCCTGTGGAGGTGCCATGTATGTTTAACAGTTATCAATAGGAAGTTTAGGTCACTGTATCAGATGAGGGACATGAGGCAGGAAATCACTAGGATGCAGCCTTTTTTTTTTTTTGTCTTTTTCATTTTTATCGGTACCAGGGATCGAACTCACGACTACCTGCTTGCAAGGCAGGCGCTTATGCCACTGAGCTAAATCCCCACCCTTGAGATGCAGACTTTTTGTGTGCTGAACATCTTACCTAAGTCCCCATGATCGATTTGCTTGAACATTCTCCTGTGCAAATCCCGGGAAGCAGAGAGATGCTGTGTTCCCTTCAAGCTCCTCTAGTGGGCAAAGAATCTACAGGGCTGGAGCTGGATATAGCCAGGTGTTTTCAAACTCCTTCATTTTGTTCTACATCTCTCTAACAGTGCACAAGATCTGCAGAGCTGATTGGGACATTCGTCAGCCCAGAAGTGTTTCTGAAGCTGATCTTATCGATGCTGAAGAAAACACCCTCCTCTTCTAGCCTGTTAATTCTCGCTTCTGTCATTCGAGGCTGCCCACGGGATGCCCTCCAGCCACACCTCAAGGTCATCACTACAGAGCTGGCCCAGGCGCACGTGAGCCAGGCATCTGAAAACGTAAGATGATGCAGTGAAGAATCAGTCACACCCTGAGTTACGGATAGGAGGTGTCCCTGCTGGCATCTGAGCCTAACTACTGATAGTCAGGGGCAGCATGTCCATACTCAGGCCCATCAGTTATGTCCGCTGCACCCAGGGTGCTGGCACCAATATCTTGGGACCTGACCTCTTGCTCTGTCCACTACTGTACCCATCAGCCAAGTGGCCTTATGTTAAAATTAAGATTTCCTTTTCTTAGTCCACTTTGGCCACCTGTCAGTTGGCCAGTATTCACATGTGATCAGTGGCCATCTGTTGGACAGTGCAGGACAGATATGCCCATTGCCAGTAGAGTCTGGATGGTGCTCTCATGGGCAGTCACAGACTGGAGAGAGTTGTGGATCAGTGGCATGGTGGAGAGAACCCTGGTCCCCACTCCTGTGGGACAGGAGATAAGTCTGTCCACACTGTGCTTGGTACACCCAGAACATCCTCAGTGGTGGACAAGAATGCGTGCTTTATTGATGTCATTTATCATTTGAATTATGAGCATAAAATAACTGACCTGATGACATGCCAAACAGGTTTGTTTCCTCTTAAATTAAGCAGTGAATTCATTAGGGCTGAGGCTGATACAACTGAGGTAACCAGCTTAATCCTTTGCAATAATTTATAATTATTTCTGCTGAAGACATGATAATGACCGTTTTGTTCGGATATCAGGCCTGACCTGTCCACTCCCACATCTCATCCCAGATCCTCCTGTTGGGTGATCAGACTCTCCCTCCACTTGAGTCAGCTGCTCCCATAGAGAGGTGCCTGCAGGTGGCATGTGGTCCAACTTGACATCTTCCAGAAGCTGTTGGAACACAAGGCTGGCCTGGGGAGAGGGTGCTGGCAAGGACCCCTGGCCATACCCTTCTCTGTCCCCAGCCTGAGAGTCACTACAGTTCACATTCACACTTACAGACTATGTTAAGAAGCCTGTAAGGAATTTAAGGAACTAGAAACCAGAGGCCTCAAGGTGGAACAGGTACAAGTCATCATTCCTGGTGTTTTTAGCCACATTCTGTCTTTTCCCTCCCCAGCTCCTTCTTAGCATCATCCCCAGTCAACATGAGTTCAACAGTGTTGCTCATGATTGGGTTTTTTGTTTTTGTTTTTGTTTTTGTTTTTGTTTTGTCTTTCTGAGACAGGGTCTCTCTATGCAGTTCAGGCTGGCCTTGAGCTCATTTGGAGCCTAGGCTGGTCTCGAACTCGCAATGATCTTCCTGCCTCACCCTCCCAAGTGCTAGGATTACAGGCATGAGCCACCACACCCAGCTCATGATTGGTTTTGAGAAGGATTTTGATTCTTGCATTTGGATGTATAAACCAGAATTGTTCTAAATGGGTGTAACCTAAAAATCCGTGCAGGCATTTAAATATATGTTTTACAAACATAATGACAAAAGGAGTGTTGTCATTTACTTTTCTTTGTTTTGGTGACATAGAACCTGGGTTTCATGGTTGATAGGCCAGGACTCCTTATCTTTCTGTTCGGCTTCTCATCTTCTTGTTACTTTTCGGGAGGCTGAGCAAAACCTTTCCTGACCCTTCATCTACCAGGGTTCAGGCACATTCTGGCCCAGAGGCCAGGGAACCAGTCATGATAAAAACCCAGGCTGTACATAATGCCCCTTTCTTGACAAACTTAAATGTTTGACAAGAAAAGACAAACACATTCCGATCAGAGTCATTTCTTTTTTTTTTTTTTTTTCTTTTTTTTTTTTTTTTTTGGTCTTTTTCGTTTTTATCGGTACCAGGGATCGAACTCACGACTGCCTGCTTGCAAGGCAGGTGCTTATGCCACTGAGCTAAATCCCCAGCCCCCAGAGTCATTTCTGTATGTGTCATTCTACAGTGAGTGAGTGCTTACCTGCTCAATCTGTGTCTGGTCATTTGGAAAGTCATTTGCATTTCCTACCACCATTCTTCAGTGGCCAGAAAAATTGACTAAGAATGTTTTTCCAGAACAATCTAAACATTTTTAAACCCCAAGTTAAAACAGAGACCTGTGCAGAAGCATCTTGTGCTACGGATCTGTCTGCTGTGGCCTCATGATTGGCAGGAGCTGGTTGGTAGCAAAGGTATTTCCCAAGTGTTGAGCCAGGCTGTTCCTAGAGCTGAGCTGAGGAACCCAGTCCTTGTCTCTAAAGTGTGTGATGACAGGTAACTGAAATAAGAAGGTGCATTCACTCCTGTTTAAGGAGATCAGAAGTTCAGGGACCAAGTTGCCTGTACTAACTATGACCATCTCTAGCACTTTGTCTGGTTTTCTCCATGTTAAGTAACGTAGTGTCAGAATTGAGAAACACTGAGCACTGGTCTCTGCTATGTTTTTTTCCTTTGTGTCTGAGTGCAGGCAAATTCTAACCATCCCTTGGTCATTAGGGAGATCTGTAGATGTTACCATCTTGCCATTTCTGCAGAGATATGGCCATGGGCATATAGCAAGGATGATGCTTGCTGTAAAAGGAGAACATGGCTTTTGTGGTCTTTAGTTTGGATCTGTAATGAGACAGCTGTGCCAAAGCTGAGAGGGTACATGTGTTTTAAAAGTGCTTCCCAGGGTCGGGGATATAACTCAGTGACACAGCCCCTACCTGGCAAACATGAGGTCATGAGTTCATTTCCTGGTACTGAAAATAATAATAATATGCATTCCCTTTTATTTTCATTGAAAAAAAATGATGGGTCTTTAAATTTACATTATGAGGCTGGGTATGGTGGCGCACTCCTATAATCCCAGCACTCAGGAGCCTGATGCAGGAGGATTGTTGGAAGTTTGGGACCAGCCTGGGCTACAAAGAAAGCTAAAGGCCAGCCTGAACTGCACAGTGAGACCCTATCTCAAAAAGATAAAAAATAAAAAGTTTACGTATGAGTGAGTCACTCTAGAGGTTTGTCAAGATCATGTCTACCAAAATTTTAATTAGTCAGTACAGACCAAAAGAAAGAAGGCTATGGGGATAGTCAGGATCAGAATAAAAGCATATATCTGTGGCTTCTCCTGGGAGTGGGGCACGCCATGCTCACAGCCCAACTCCTGGGGTGGTGTTGGGGCTGTCTGTATTAGGGCAGGGTGGGTCAGGGATACAGGAACAAACCTGCTGTGGTACAGTGACTTCTTTAAACTCTGGTGAGTCATGGCAACTTTCAGACTGATGCCGAAATTTAGAACCAATCCATCATCTAGCCAAATAATTATCATGCTTTTTTGAACTCACACCTCCAATTACTAAAAAGAGATTTGAGCATTTGCCTCTTGTTTACATCTATGGTTGTTTTGTTTTGTTTTTTTTGTACCAGGGATCAGACTCATGACCTCATGCTTGCCAGGCAGGTACTTACACTGCTGACCTAAATCGTCCGCCCAACCTCCATGTTTTTATGAAAACATATTTGCACTTATTACCTATGTGACCTCTATCTTGATTCATTTTGAGACCATAATCTTTTTTGTTTGTTTGTTTTTTTAACCACGGATTGAACTCAGGCCCTTACACTTGCCAAGCAGGTGCTTTGCCACTGAGGTAGATCCCCAACCCTCCTGACTCATTCTGTACATCATAAAACATGTAAAATGCTTGAGTTAGAGTAACATTGTAAGCAGTGCCTGTAATGAATACAGTGAAAACAAGTGGGAAGCTGTTGAACCAGACAAGCTTTTGGTGTCCCCCCTTAACCACGAAGCATTTTTTTATTTGTAAAACTTTATTTTTGTTAAAGCTGAGGCACATATAACTTGTACCCTTTTTCTGTTTTTTTTTTTTTCTTTTTTCTCCTTAAATTAAAAAAAGAAAAAAAAAAAGCTAAGGCACGTAGAGATATTCAAAACTGCAAAAAAGAGGGGAAAAAATGGTAACTTATACCACCACACCCACCTCCGGTTACCAGTTCTTTTTTGTTCTTGTGTTTTCCCCTTGTGCTAGTTTTTTGCTTTGTATTGTTTTGTTTTTAAACTTTGGGAGGAGTAAGGAGGGCTCTGCAGTATTTTCAGGTAAATCCAAGACATGCTGTTGTTTCATTTATAAATGAACATTGCAGCACAGGAGTTTTCAGACTTTTTAAACTGAACTTTTAAAACACAAAATGACTGTGGACCCTGAATTCTCAGTCTGTTTCCAGTTTCCCTGTTGTCTAAACAGTACCCTTGTTAAGGCTGATCATTCTAGTCAGGGCCCAGTGGACCCTGGACATGGCGTGATGGCTCTCCTAGTTCTTGCTGGGCAAATGGACCCTGCACTTTGCAGATTTGGGGTGAGGGGCACTGACTATCTCTGATCTCTTCCAGGATGTCTACCTGGAGCACCTGCTGCTCTGTGTGCAGAGCCTGGTGTCTGTGTGTCAAGAGGACTGCAGCATGGCCAGCCTGCAGCTCATGGAGGTGCTGGTGACAGTCAAGGCTCTCTCAGGTGCCACTGCCCTTGGGGACAAGGTAAGGCTTGTGGAAGATCCTCATCACTGCAAACTGTCTCTGACGGAAGTGTAACTGTCTTCTGTAAATCTCCTGCATGCTTGAATTTCAGGCCTCAGGCATATCTGACTGGCAAAGATGAAAGAATGTGGAACATTTGGGATGAGTCATTCATGAGGTGGCCTCAGGGTGTCCTGCCACCTGCAGATGTATCCTACTGTCTAGGAATGAAAGCTCTTTAATCTTGAGCCTGTAACAAAGAAGCAAAGAAGAAACAAGACTGTCACAGTCTTCAGCCTGTTCCAATCAGTGATTTCAAAAGCACACACCCCCATGCAGCTGAAAGTCTGGAGAGAACTGTGACTTTCCTGCATTAATTGCAGAACGGCTTTGCAAAATGATTTCTGTCCTCTTGGCTCTGTGTTTATGCTTAAAAGTCTCCTGAGCTGCCTTCTGTGTGGACTCTGAGAATCACCTGGCACCTATAGTATGCAGATCCTGTTCCGCCAGCCCCCACACAGGCTGTTTTGTGTGGAAGACATGGTAGCCATGGAACCTGAATTCAAGGAGGCTCACTGCCCTTCCTCTCCTATTTGTAGGTCTCTTTTATTTGTAGAATTCTTTATTTTGGAGGTTTTTTGTGTGTTGGGTATTGACGATAGAACTTAAGGCTGCACTACCAATAAGCTACATCCTTAGCCTTTCTTGTTTTTATTTATTTTTTTCTTTTTTGAGACACTAAGTTTCATAGACTGATCTCAAACTCAGAATTCTCCTGCCTCAACTTCCCAAGGTCTTGTGTCACAGGCAAGTGTCACCATGCCCCACTTCATGAGGCTTCTTTCAACTTTGCTGTATTTCACTCTTTGAAAACAACCTTACAAAAGACACGTCTTTGTAGAAGATTTGTCACTGATAGCCATAAGTAATAGCAAAGCAGTGCCTGTGAGTGGCAGAAGGAAGCCAAGTACATCAAGTGACAGGTGGGTCTACAGAATGGAGGCCACTGGGCAGCTGCCATGAGGGAATTTTGAGGACTTCCTACTATGTTTAAACCCCAGAAAGCCACCAATTACTGAGTAGCTGATGGTTTCTTGGTTAGTCATACTTCACCCCTGTGTCACCAGCCGGCATGCATCCTGGCGTCAGTGATGATGAAAGTTAAAGCATGACACATCGAAAACTTAGAAAATTTATTATAGAGGAGACACACAGCTGACTGTCGATAGGCAGCCTCATGGGTGACAGAAGGAGAAGCTTCTAACAGTGGATACATTTTATGGAGTCTCGGAGGAATGGCATTAATTATTCATGGATTTTCCAAAAGGTGCACAGGTCATTGAATAGGGTAAAGTTTAGTTACTTCACAGATGTGATTTTGCACATGATCCAAAATGTACTTAGCAACATGTTATGCCACCCTCTGGATGGAGAATTTATTATGGAAATGTATGATAATGAAGGCATAATGAAGTTCAGGGTCAGTTCCCTGTTAAGACTGTCTCTGTTGTGCTTGCATTAGTCTAACCTAGTCGCCCGCATGACCTACCTCTTGGTCACTTAGTTGACAGCATGACTTACTTTACCCTACCTGTCACCAGAAGCTACCCAGCCTGCTTAGAATTATCTCTCAGACTGCTACTTCTGTCACATTATTGCCTCCAGAGTCATCTGTTGGGGTCTGACAGGCAGAAATGCTGAGCACAGGAGTGTGAGGATGGGCTTGGGGACAGTTAGGTTGGTCTAATTCTTTAAAACTCCTTGGCCCACCATGGCCCGATCAGAGTGGCCCCAGGTCACCTTTGATTTGTGCAAACCAGGAAACCACTTATATTGCTCCATAGTTGATGCCTATATGTCTGCTTTATTATTTGCTGTAAACACAGCATTGATAGCATGATGGGAAGTCTGAACTTAGCAAAGTCAGCTGTAGTCCTGGCCTGCAGGTCCAGTCTTCAAGCATTTTTGCCTTGCAGCACTCCCCTCCTGGCTAAATGTTCCCATTTAACCCACTCATTCCAGCAGCTCAAGGGCCTTGGGTGATAATGTCTTAAAAACTAGAATTCTCAGCTAGATGTGGTGGCACATGCATGTAAGTCCAGTACTCTGGGAGACTGAGACCGGAAGATTACAAATTCAAGCCCACCCTGTACAATTTAGCAACTTGGTGAGACAATGTCTCAAAAAAAAAAAAAAAAAATTAAAAAGGCCTGAGGATGGTGGCCTTGGGTTCAATCCCTAGTATACACTCCCCTCCCCCAATGGAATGATCCCAGTGTTTGACTTATATCTTACAGGCTCGGGAGACCATGGAGTCACTGGCCATGGTAGACAATGTCCCTGGAAGTCAGGACCTCTACCGCAAGTACATGGGTCCTCTCCTGGAGCGACTGACTGCCTCGCACAGTGACTGGACTGCTCACTCTGTAGAGCTGCTGCAGTTTTGTGAAGTCATCACCCAGTCAGGTGAGTCCCAGGCAGCCCTCAGTGCTCTGCCTGGTCTCATCTGTGGTCCCCCCTTCTTCAGCCATATATCTGCTCCACCACAAGGAAACCAGGGTGCAGTATACCGCATCACTGCTCACTGAGGCATGTTTCAGAAAGTGACAGAAGGGAGCGCCCCCAGGGTACGAGGGCTGGAGCTGTGGCTTCTGTGAGTCGTTCTTCAAGGTCTCTCCTCTACACACAGCAAATGCAGTAATCTGAAATCAGGGTCTATCATGGCCTCTTTTGTAGCCTGTATTCTTCAGATACAACTGGGTTTTAGTAAGGAATTTCACATTTCCAGCCGCATGGCATTCTGAGTGTGTGACACAGGAGGCTTTGGCCTCTGAGACCTCTGCATATCTGTCTGTTGTCCCAGAGCCTGCATTTGCAGGCTCTTTCCTGAACTGGATAATGTTGCTCCATAACCTCCTTCATTATAGATGCAGAGTATATAGCCTTTTATTTAGTCTCATAGCCTTTTATTTTCCCCCAGTACTGGGGCTGAAACCCAGGTCTGGCACATGTAGCCTGTCCCAAGTACTAACCACTGAGCCATACCCCAGCATTTAACAAGGTCTTCATTTCAGAAGTTGCAGTGAGAGTCATTAGGTGTGTATCCTGTACTTTGCAAGTGACTGTGACTTGTCTATATGGTTACTCCTTCCTTGATGTATAGACTCCCATAGTCCTTCGCACTGCCCCCATGTTTCTGCGTGATCCTACCACCTCGCTGGAGGTATAAAGTGTGCTCCGCTGTGCTGCAGAGCTAGGGATGCCTCTGTGGTTAATAATCAGGTTATTTATGCCCAGGACTCTGAGAGCAACCAAGAAGTCTGAAATTTCTCTTTGTCAGTTGTGTACAAAACTGTTTCCAGATTATAAAAGGCAGGGCTAAGGATCAAGGGTCACTGCAGCAGATGTCTCTGCAGCTCCTCAGCCCTGCCTGCTTCAAACACCAGGTTACTGTACCTCATCACTGTTGTGCAGGGCAGAAGCTACTGACCCTATTTTATAGGTGGGAAACCAAAAGCACAAGGTTTATTGAAAATTATTTAAAAGTGACTTCTTAAATGAGGATTTTTAAAAATAACTTATTTACAAAATTCCTATAGGATTTATCTGTAGGACAAATTTATCTGTAAGACATTTAAAACTTCTAAAACAGAATGGGGATCTACAAAAGAAGTAGATTCTACTATGTCTTCATTTGAAACCAAACAGTAAAAAATAGACCTGGGAAAATATTCACAGTGAAACCAATATCATCAGGTATTTGTTACATAAAACTCACATGGAATAAAGATAAAAGCCTTAGCCCCCAACAGACAGACAGGAAACTTGGATTATATAAGAAAGAGTTAACATAGCTAGCAAGCAGACAGAGTTGGAAACTATGCATTCAGCCTTCTTAATAATACAGAAATATGAGTTAGCAACTATGAATATGATTTCTTTATCTATGGAATTAGACAGAAAATAACAAGTTTGTCCCAGGGGGGTCAAGCTGGGAGCCTTGGGCCCTGCTGTGGAATTCCATATGCATAGCGCTTGTGGGAAGCAGCTGGGTGATGCATCTACAATTCTCAGAGCATTCATAGCTGTCTACCCGGCAGTCAGATAAATGAGACTATATGCTAAGAAAGTGATCCTGACTATGGGAAAAGCCACATAGCCAAAGTATTCAGCAGGGCATAACTTAATTGCACAATTGGAAGTGACTCAGATACCTTACAGGAAGTTAAACATGTAAGGGCATTTCCACAGAAAGCGGTTCTGGCCACTAATAAAAATGACCACCCTGAGCCTTCATTCAGGAGGAAAATTTCGTGGCACCAGGCAAGAGAGAGAGGACAGTGGTGGCACTTGTATGCTACTTGTGAGGAAGTCTAGCACTGGAGGAAGAGGTTCCAAGGCTCTCAGTCTTCATTCTGTTTTGTTTTGTTTTTTAACTTTCTTAACACCAAGTAGCTAACTTTCCAAATCCTACCAGAGCCCTGTTGAGGGCTGTCAGTATGGGAGGGGTATGGTCCTTTCCTTCTCACATTCTAACAGCTGATTATGAGCCAGGGACATGATACTGTTTTCTGTATTTAGACCAGAAAATGTAGCTTATTTCCAGTTTGTTAAAATGGAGAGAGAGAGAGTTTTAAAGGCAGCAGAAATCACGACTCTTGTAGCAGGGAGGCCCCGAGTCATAGGGACATGCTGCCATGCTGGACTAGGCCATGTCTGAGAGGACATCAGGGCAGCACTATCTCAGAGCCTGTCTGGCCTCACCAGGCCCCTCTAGACGTCCCCACCAGTGAGGACACAGAGCCCCTCACAGCTCAGCTTGACCTGCATTTCAGTGCAGTGTGGGGTTCTGAGCGTGAGCCCCTCTGGACAGAGTCCGCCTGAGTAAACAGCTCAGATAACAGATGCTTCCAGCAAAAGGGTCCACCTACCTAGGGGTGTGGGAAGGAATGAAACTCAGTTAAACTTCCACGTGTCCCTACATGGCCTCTGGTTCTGCCACACTCAAGGATGCACGAAGTTGTCAGCGAACTCTTTTCAAACTGGCCTCAGGTCCCATTGCGTCCCCTCGGGGCTGTGTCTGTATTGTGAGCCCTGAGCTCATGGGCCTGCCAATGCCCAGTAAAGGTGTATGTGTGTCTGTCTGTGTGACTCTGCAGCAGCAGCTGTTATGAGGTCAGCTAGCTTTGGGCAGATATTTCTGTATGTCATACAGATGACAAAGATGGTCTCAGAGTCCAGGGGTACATCTGGGGTCTACAGCCTGAGCCCAAGCCTGCATCTCCACACTGATCTTTGAGTTTTGGGCTTACCCTGTCTGCAGAACATATTCCACTTTAAAAAGCAATTCCTAAAAGGCAGTGCTTTTCAAAACCAAGAATGTTAGCTGCCCCAGGCCTAGGAGGCTGTGGCCGAAGGCTGCTCCCCAGGGTGTGGTGCCCGCAGACCCATGGTACAGAGGCCATGTGGCAAGCCCCAGAGGCCCAAATGAGAAAGGCCAGCTACATTAGACGCAACCTGTTCCTTAGTCTCTCTCACACTGATTTGCGCCTGGAAGGCAAACCTAGGCCTGGCCAGGATCAGTGTCATCGGTGAGCTATGCCAGTAACATGGACCGGACACAATGTCAGAATTTATTAAATAACAATTAACTCACCAGCTACATCAGTTTCATCATCCCTATCTGGGCAGTACTCAGAGTCCACTCTTTGGTAGCCAAAAAGTTGGGCAATCACAGGTTCTTTTATTGCAGTCTTAGTAATGTCTATAGCATTCAGGTCCCACAAAACACTTCATAAAATAATAGTTAAGTTACAGAACAGTGAACAAAGGGTTAAGAGGGGATGTAGCATTAGAAAAGATGAGACTGAAAGCAAAGGCTGAGTCTGCAGAGATGTGAAGAGTTACTTGGGTGGCCAAGAAAAAGTTACAGTCCAGGCTGAGCTGCTTCGTGGCCTGGGGCTTGTCGATAGTGCTGAAGTGTTCAGGGCCCAAGTGTGGGCAGCAGGCAGTTTGGAGTCCAGGGGTACATCTGGGGTCTTCCTGGAGTACCTTCCAGTCTGAAAGTACAACTTTGTGTTCTGACCTGTTACCTGGACTCATTCTGTTTCACATCCTAGAGGCAGAGCCCCAGAAATGTGGCCCGTGCAGATGCCCTGCTCGCAGGCAGGCACTCGCCCTGCAGGTCCACACTGCATCAAGTTCAGAGATAAAAGCTGACCCAAAAGTAAGGACCAAAGGCCTGTCAACACGTGACACCTTTACCGGGTGGGCTGATGAGGTGACAGATTGATATGTGCTGTTGCCCCTGTACCCCAGTGTCGCATACCTCTCCTATGTGAGCCAGGTGAGGAGGTTGCGGTGTTCTTTGGTCTCATGTGTGCAATAAGTTTGTCGTGCTGATTTTCTGTGATAAAACTGATATGTCCTGTGTCCAGGTGTCCCTGATTTAATTTGATATGTTCACAGGTTTGATATGTTCACATTTTTTGTTAAGCAAGATGAATTTGCCAGTTTGTGCCACAAGGTTGCTCTGTGCAGCTGGGGTTGTTCTTTTTGCCAAGTTTGGTGTGTTCGACATCTGGCGGTTATCGTTTGCACAGATGAGTGACCAAGCCGTCTTGCCTCAGCATTTGTACTCCAGTGGCACAAACTGCTGTTCTATGAAATGGCGTCATTCAGGGCAAAGCACAGCCTGGAAGCCACTGTTCTATACAATGTGGTGTCACTCACAGCGGGACACAGCCTGCCTTACACAACCAAATCACGCAGACAGTAGGAATTGGCTTCAGGGAAATGCTGCTGAGATTTTTCTTATACTATGATTCTTTCTAACTTCCTGGAGTACCTTCCAGTCTGAAAGTACAACTTTGTGTTCTGACCTTTTACCTGGACTCATTCTGTTTCACATCCTAGAGGCAGAGCCCCAGAAATGTGGCCCGTGCAGATGCCCTGCTCGCAGGCAGGCACTCGCCCTGCAGGCCCACACCTGCCATTGCAAAGCCTGCAGCATTCCCTGCTAGAAGCTGGTGCTAACACCATGTCACACTTCAAGTAGAGAGCACATGAGGCATTTAAATTCACCTATCTTTTTATCCCGTAGGTAATAATAAACACCCTGAATTTTTAAGGAATTTTAAATGTGTTTGGTCCAGGATTTAAATATAAAAAGTACTTTACTTAGTCATAGTTTGTAAAGAATAGCTGGTGAAGTCCAAAGTTAAAACCATGCTTTACAGAAGGGAGGCTGGGAAGACACTACTGAGACGCATACTTGGATTTGTGCATCTTCTCTCTTTTCCTTTGTGAATAAAATTGTTCAGTCTCAGGAATTTGATATTTATTCCCCAGTGCTTGTTCTCATCCCCCCAGCCATTTCCAGGCTTTTTTTTTTTTCCCATATCAGTAGAGTCCATGCAAACCCCTGGCCAGTCACCATCCTGGCAGGATCCCATGCTTTGGTACCTTTTCCTTTTCCCCTATCTTAGTGTGTTTTGTTTTGTGGGTTTTTTTTTTTATGTCCCCCACCCTCCCCAGTCTGGCTGAGACTTCCTACCTCATTTTTCCGGCATGGAACACATTTGGTTTGAAGACACCATATCTTAGAAGAGCAAAGGTTTAGGTTGGTTGGCTTGTTCTCTGAATTATAGAAGAGCAGTGTGTTGCAGAGCAGACTGACTTGAGCAACTTGTGTTTGTTTTGAAATCTGGAGCCCTGTTTGTTGGCACATTGCAAAACAATAAAAATGTTTTGGGGCTGCTATTCTCTTGCTTCAAGGAGCTTGTTTGGACACCAGAGTTTATTTTTGTTCCAGCCAAATTCACAAGTTACCGAATCAGTTGCTCTTGTGTCTGAAGTCCTCATGGCATGAGGCAAGCTGTATCCATTTCTTCATCTGCATTTGAAAGAGGACAGGCTGCAAAATTGTGGACACACTGCAAAATTGTGGACACACTGCAGACAGTTTATACAATTTGAATGACTGATTTGTGTGTGTGTGTGTGTGTGTGTGTGTGTGTGTGTGTGCTGGGGAGCAAACCCAGTACCTTGTACATGATATACAAGCACTCTGGCACTGAGCCACAACCTGGCCCTTGATCTTTAAAATATTGCTTGACTTTAGTTTTAAGAATTTAGAAAAGCATAAGAAAAATAGAAAGCTTACTATTGAGTAATAATAGGAACTCCAGGAGGTATCATTTTCCATTGTGAATCAGTTAGTGCCCATGAGAGCAGCACTACAGGAAGGGCAAAGTGCAGCGTGCTGTGACTGTTTAGCCCCTTCCCAAGTGTTCTGCCCGCAGGTCCTCTTCCTGCCCAGGGCCTGGGCTCCTGCTCTGATTCTTGAATGGCTATATCCTGTCTATCTGTGTTCCAGGCCCGGCTGTGGGAGAAACGCTGCAGCATGTGGTCCCCACTCTCAGGACCTGTCTGCAGACCACAAGAGACCCCCATATGTGCCTGAAGCTTTTCTCCATCCTCTCCAGCCTGCTGATGAGGTCCAAGGACACCATCAACTCCCAGGGGTAGGCAATGCTTGTGTCTGGCAAAGCAAGCCCTGCTGGGTGCTGGGCAGGGCTCCCCAATTTACCCCACACTGCTAGTAGCCCCCCCATCTTCTATACACTGAAATGGGCAGGCCCTCTCCCTGCCCCCCCCCCCTCCGCCCCACACACACACTCTGCAGGGCAGGGCTCCCTCTTCCTGAGGTCACAGGTGAGAGGTTGAAGGCCTCCCTGAGCGTCTCTGTGGCCTAAGTCCTGCCACAGTCTGTCCCCACTGGTAGACAGCACGGATCAGGAGAATAGTGTATTACAGAGAAACTGAAACAGTAAATCAAAGTCATCTTAGTGTAGTCATTAAAATTCCATTGAGGATTTGAAAAAAATAAAAAATAAATGTAATACCTTTAAAAAATAAATAAAATTCCATTGAATGAAAAAGTTTTAGGGAACATTAACTGTTAATGGTTTATATATGAGCTGTTCTCGCTTTTAAAAGCCTTTTGGTATCTTTCAAACCTAACAAAGACCTGATTGAATTGCCATTGATAGTTAAAGCAGTATAGATAGTCTTCTATTATCTGAAAGAACTGTTAGGTATCATTAAAACACTAAGAGCCTCCAATTTTATTGCTTTGATGCAAGGAAAAGGGAACAAAAAGCATGGAAGAGAAGAACAAAGGGGGATGGGGGTTACAGCTGTCAGAGTGCCCTGGGCCAGGTGGGAGGAGGGAAGTGACCTGTGTGCCAGATTGCCTGGGGAAGAGGCCCCAGCAGCTCTCCGGCCACCATTTTTCCTCTGTTAAATCAGCAGAATACCCAAAGTCACCCAGAGTTCCAGCCCGAAAGGTAGGAAGAGGTGGGGCAGGTGCAGGATCCAGCTCTCAGGATACAGACCTGTCAGCTCAGGCTCCATCGGCACCTGGGAATCCCCCTTTCCTAGGAAACAGGTCCATGGAAGCAGATGTGGCCAACAGACTATCGTTTCCCATGCAAATAATTTGGTCATTTAAATTTTCACTGCAGCCTTTATCTCGTCTCTGCTGTTGGGCCTCTAGCCAGCTCATCAGGAAATTCTGTTTCCTGCTGTCTAGAAACCTCAAGACCAGAAGGGATCACAAATAGGCACTAATACAAGCCTTGACAGCAGCCCTGAGCAGGCAAACACATGTGCTGGTGATGCACAAGGCAGTGTGGCTGCAGAGACTGTGACTGCTACCCTCATGCTCTGCCTGAGCTCTGGATCCAGCCCAGGGCTGCTGCTGGGCTCAGCCATGGTCCCAGAACTATACGATTAAAGGCTTCATATGGGAAGAAATCAGTGTCACGGAAAGTAGGTTATTCAAATAAAAGTTACTTAAGTGAAATAATTAGCTATTTTTGTATACAGGAAAGATGTAAAAAATAATATCATTTCATTTTATTTGGGGGACTTATACAATGGTAGAATCATCAAGTGTGGTGTGTAGTTGATGCTGCTGGACAGGGACACTGAAGGAGGGTATTCAGGTCAGGATTCCCTTTCCAGAGAAGAAAGCACATACACAGCAAGCCCAGGACAGTGGCGCCAAGTGATGTCCTGTGCTGGCCCTGCCTGGCTTGTAATCACCAGCTGCTTCTCGCAGGCCTGATTAAGGTATGGCTTCTCTTGGAAGCACCATCCAGGCTTTTTGTTGGTCAAGCTATAGAAGGAAGTGGTCCTGTTTGTCCATCCTGACAGCCTCATGCTCTTGCTAGAGCCTGTGCTGAGACACCTCAAGAAAGCAGAGAGGCGCAGGGCTCACCAGGCTGCCTTGGCTCTGTTCCTCATTGCCAGTGAAAACTGGGGTCCCCTAAACAATCAGAGTTAGATTTTATGTAAAACTTGCATGCCAGTGAAGGTGATGTATGTGATCTTGTGAGCAGTGGCTCACTGTGGTCCGTCTCTCAGCAGGGTGAGGCCCCCAGTGGTGGGAAGGAGCCCAGTGCTCAGAATGGGCCTGTGGGATGTGTCTCCCTGACATGGCCTACATTAGCAGAGCCTGTCATGCATCTTCTGTGCACTTCATTGAGTGTATTTGTCTTTTTCTCACTGCCCTTGTGTTACTGGTGTCGATGGCATGTTCTCACGTGAGCACTAAAAGTAGCAGCAGCTGCTGAAAGGACACGTCATGATCCAGCCAGCACTCAGACATTCACTTCAAGCCTCTTGTCCAGGCCTCTTTACACGAACCCTTCCCAGATGGGCTCAGGGTTAGTCATCCCAAGGTACCCTCTTGTGGATCAGTGCAGAAAATGGCTACTCTTTGCTTAAACATTAAAATACATCCAGTCAGATATGGGTGCCAACCTGTAATCTCAGCACATGGGAGGCCGAGGCAGGAGAGTTACCACAAGTTCGAGACCAGCCCTATGCTCCATAGTGAGTTTAAGGCAAGCCTGGACTAGGTAGTATGACCCTATCTGAGAAGAAACCAGACAAACACATTGAGAACCTGAATCTGTACATCATGCTACCCCCAGTTAACTTTCTAAATTTGCTTATCCATCATGGCTGGAAATGCTCATGCTGGGAGCAAGCAGGGGGGCTCTGCAAAAGCATCCACATGGGCAGCATGCAGAAGCAGCACCAGCATTGCCAACAGGATGCAAGTGCTGGTCTTCAGTGCTGTTCTGGAATCACAGCCAAGTATCTGAAGGTCTGCGGGAACAGAGGGGCCACTGGGAAGTCCTGAGGCTCATTTCTGCCATTTCAGCAGGTTTCGGGGTGTAAGTGCAGTGCTGAGGCGGGTGCATGGGTCTGGGGGTTCTCATGCTATTTTGCCTTATTGGTGCTGAGGACATGTTGAAACTGGTGGTTCCCCTCAAAATGAAGCCACGAGAATTGTTTTGGGAGCTTCTTGTTCCCTGAAGGATTACCCCACATCCCCACATACACAAAGCTGAGTGGGCCCACAGCTGCTTTCCTGGTTGTGGTAGAAGATTACGTGTTCACAGGGACTTGTTGGGCCTAGGTTGTAAGGTAGACAATAACAGGCCTGAGTCTGCTGGGCCACGGGCCAAGGTCACTCTGGCCTCCTCCACTGGCAATAAAGAAAAAGGTTAAAAATACGTCTCAGGCCACGAGGTTTTCTGGAGAACTCAAATCTAACACTGGTCCAAGGAGAGGCCAGCAGGAACCCACAGAATTACAGCTGTCCTCTCCAGTAAGGCTGAGCCAGGCAACCACCTTCTTATTCCCCCTGGAGGTACAGCCATGGCCACCACAGTCCCTTTCTTCCCCAGGAACAGAAGATGTTCCCATTGGTATCACTTCCAGTTTGTCCCATCTGCTCTTTCCCCAAGCCCAAACCAAGATGCTACCTTCAGAACGAGTCTCTGCCCTTGCTCACCACAGTCTCCTGTGTTGACTACAGGCAGTTTTGTGTCTACCTCGACACAGTGGTAAAGGACATCCTGATGCCCAATCTGCAGTGGCGAGCAGGGAAGACAGCTGCGGCCATCCGCACTGCTGCCGTGTCCTGCTTGTGGGCACTCACCAGCAGCGATATCCTGTCGACCAAGCAGGTAGGGGAACTCTGCTGTATCCTGGGGATCCAGGGCTTGGACTGACCTGTGGCTGGAAACATGCAGGCCATGGAAGGAAGTAGACAGGCCTGTGCCTGAGTGGATAGGAGGAGCAGGAGAGAAGGCAGAGGTCTGTCTGCCAGTCAGTTTTGAAGGTTTTGTCTCCTAGGGGCCTGGCAAGAATTTGACTTCCTATCCTGTGTTTACTTTTTTTTGAGACAAGGTCTCACTATACAGTCCTGGCTGGCTTCAGCCTCCTGAGTGCTGGGATTATAGGTTTGCACCACCATGCCCAGCCTTTAGGTTTACATATTGAATATTCTTTACAAGCCTAAGAATGTAATCATAGGATCTACCAAGGAGGCCAGGTCTCTGCCTTGCATGTTGCTTCTTCTTGTGTCCAGCCAGTGCAGGGAATCAGGAAGCAGTGGAAACAGCTTCTGCCTTGAGGTTGTGCATTGTGCGCAGCAGCTGGAGAAGCCTTTTAGCCAGGCCCTGCGGTGTGTGAGCGCCCCCTCCTGGCCCATGGAAGCGTTGCTGCTCTAAGGCGCCCCTGGACACCCACAGTGCAGCACTGTAGGAGGCAGGACTGAGCCTTCTAGAAGGGATTGGGAATCATTGGTTACTAGAAATCCACAGACCAAGTTAAACAAAAATTATCAAACTATATAAAAATCCAGATTCTAGCATCCTTTGTACAACGTTGACAGCATCATTTCCAACTGTACTGTACTCATGTCAGCTGAGCCCCTCCTTCCTGGCAGTCAGAGCAGAGCTGCCAGCACCTTCTCACACACACTTACGGTTCCAGGTGCAGGACGTGCAGGATGCATTGCTGCCGCGGGTCCTGGCCACCCTGGAAGAAGACCTGCAGACCGCCCGGCTCATCTCCTGTCGTATCATTAACATATTTTTAAAGACCTCTGGGGATGTTATAGATCCAGATAAATTCATCAAGATTTATCCTGGTAAGACATTTTTGTTGATCAAGCCATGTATATGTGTTTATATTTGAGTGACTTCTTTTACAGCAAAAAAACAGAAAATGTTATGTTTTGTCTTGTGGTCATGTTGATACTACAAGTCCAGAAACAGCAATGACAGATAAAACATTAAACAAATAGCAAAACCCAGGGTGAATGCGCTGGACCAAAGCCCCATTCCCACTCAGAGGGGGAACGTAGCCAGACCCCAGTGTAAAAATAAGGTCTAGGGGGAGACTTCTGTGCCTGGCCTGCTAGAGCAGGTGCCTGCCCTACAGTTGGGCCTGTGAGAGGGAGGGAAGATGGGGCCATGCCCCTGGCTCAGGCCTAGGCCCTCACTGCCCTGTGTCTGCCTTTGGAATCAGAGCATCACACAAACCCTAGATAGAGACAAGTCAGGAGTGGGAGGAGACGAGGCATCAGTTAGAAGCCACTAAGAAAACACATGCTGAGCTGAATATCGAATGCAGAGAAGGAATATCAGTCACTCGGGTGAGCTGCCTGAAAACATACCGAAATCGCAGCGCCTTAAAAGGGGGCAGATGAATGAGCCCAGCCCGGCAGCTCTGCAGAAGAGGGAAGCAACACAGGACGTTCTCTCTTCAGACCTCAGAAAATGAAAATAACTTCCACTAAAAGAAGCTGAGAAACCAAGTGGAAAACAGGAATAGAGAATAGACAAGTAGACATACGGAGAACCAACTGGGTGTTGTAGAAAGATGCCTGCCAATGACCCAGGCGCCACAGGCACTGACCTGAGGAAGAGAGTTGCCCGAGGGACACATCCGAGGCAGGGGGGCAAGACCTGCACATTGTCCTGCTCATCTCATGAATCGGGAAGTGAGTACCTGCCGGGTTTCCCACGGATGGTTTTCATGATTCCTGGGAGTAAACAGCTCTGGGATTTACAGCCGGGTGTACATGGTTGAGCACTGAAATTAGCAAATTGAAAGGTTTTACTTCCCTAAAAAACAGCTCTTCCAAAGAAGATGAAATGTAGAGAAGGTGAGGTGTGAGTGGTAAAGGAGGACAGAGGCAGCATTGGAAACCAGGGAGATACAGAATCACCCAGGACCAAAGACAGATAAAGACTCTCAGATCCAACGTGTGGAACAACCATGAGCAGGAAATTTCCTCCCAAAGAAACCGGAAGTCCAGGTTTTGGTGGATTTGGGGTTTTCTTGGAGTGAGAGGAGTTGGGGATATTTTTGTAGTCACATTTTTTTCCTGCCTATAGTCCCTATGGTTCTGTGTTCAAATGAGTTCATCCAGAGTGAGTTGTTGGCTGCCAGGGTGAGTTGGGGCATTGTTCACTGTTCGCAGTGGAAGCCGGCAAGAAGATGGCACATTATTGGGGCATTTGCCTGTAGCTTACTGCAGGTGTGGCTGTATTCATGACAAAAGAATCCCTCATAAGTCCCTGTACTTCTTGGTGCCAGTTCTGTGCTCCTGGAAAAGCCATTGCAGATGAGCGCAGGCACCTCTGGGGCTCCCTGGGACCAACTGTAGTTACAGGGACAGCAGCATGAATCCAGCACGAGGCATCAAACCCAGCAGAACTGCAGCTGCTCACGAAAGCACCGTGGCTGACCAGGGAGGACTTCAGGCAGCTTTTCTGTCCAGAATTGGAGTTGGCATCGTCCAGAATTGGAGTTGGCATCACTATCATAAATTAATTCCAGCAGTGGCCTGGGTGCCCGTGCACCAGGAGGGAGACACCTCAACACTCTGATGTTAATGAGTTGGCTGACCTTTCTCAAGGTTTCATTCTGGCTCAGTTCTGACATGTGGGTGTTGATATGCCTGCCTCAGTGCTGCTGGTCATACATGTGGTCATACATGTGGTACTCAACAGTGTTGCCCAAGGTGACTCCCACTTTGATGTATAAATATGTATCCTTCATTCCTTATACAACCAGAGCCCAGCACCTTTTGGAGCTGGTAGGTGTCTCTCCTAAGTTGATCCAGCAGGTCCTGTTTGTCCCGAAGCCCTGCCCTGTTGGTGGGACTCCCTGAACTTCAGATTGTTTTTTGTGCCATTCGGTAAGCTCGGAATGGCCTGCTAAGAGATAATGTACCCTCCATGCAGCACACAGGATGAGCGCAACCTGTGTGCAGCTGGGAGCCCTCATGCTGGGGAGGGCAGCCCTGTACCCCTTCACTGCTCAGCTCTTTCCATGCTCATTCATCCTCCAGAGATGGTGGAAGTAGGTGCCGAAGGATTTTATAAGGCCGTGTAGGAAAGCATGAGTTTGATAAGAACTTTAACTGGGTGCAACCTGGTACAACCTGTCATCACAGCAGTCTGGGAGTCTGTGGCAGGAGGTCACAAATTTGAGGCCATCCCCAGCAACTCGGAGAGACTATGAGAAGGCCCTGGGTTTAGTCCCCAGTACAGAGAAATAAAAGGAAAACTGCTCTGATGCAGAAGCAGCACGGCTGGGTCACCAAGTCCCACAGAACAGAATGACAGCAATGAGGCTGTCCTGTCCCCCTGGGCTGCTGCTATTTGGGAAGCTCCTGAGGCCTATGTGTGACTGTGTTCCCTGCCATCTCCCAGGCGAGGGCAGCTGTGGGTGCCAGCTGCATGCCAGTCTCCCTTGAGGCATGGGTCTCCTGGAACTGTGGAACAGTGCTGCCGGGGAGTGAAGATTAGATCCCTGAGCAGGACTCTGTGGGTGAGCTGTCTGCTCTGGAGCTCTGATGCCTGTCTAATCCCTCCCTCCAGAGCTCTTAAAACGCCTGGACGATGTCTCCAATGACGTGCGGATGGCTGCTGCCTCTGCCCTGCTCACCTGGCTGAGATGCATCCAGAGTGCCGACGGCAAGTCATACTATCAAAGCAGCATCCAGTACCTGTACAGGGAGCTCCTCGTTCACCTGGATGACCCCGAGAGTGCCATCCAGGACGCAGTCTTAGGTGAGCTTTCTGATATCTTTGGCAGCCACATTTGAGGGCGATAAGCTTGGTCCATGCTGGGGTCTGCAGTGATGCCACGGTGCTTTTTTCCTTGTGACTCAAGCAGTGATACTTAGCTGTGAAACAGATTTTCCCAAACAAAATAATTAGCAAGGAGACTGGCACTAAATAAATTAATAATAAGTATCCCACTATACTGTGAATGTCTTTGAGATTAAAGGCTGTGGCTTACTAATCTTTGTCGCTTTCACCTAGCATATATCACAATGCCTACCACATAATTGGCATGCAATAAATGTTCTTTAGTGAGTACACAAGGATGAAAAATAAAAATAAATCTAGGTGGCAAAAAAATGTGACACTGCTCTTAAATTTGTACTCATCCCTTTAATGTCTAGCTTGACAGAAGACAACTATATTTCAGTGTTGTTTCTGCATTTAGACAGTTAGGACATGTCTTGGTTACTTTTCTCTTTTGCTGAGACAAAATACCAAACACCCACAAGTTAAGGCAGGAAAGTTTTATTTAACTCGTTGGTAGAGGTTTCAATCCATAAATGACTCCAAGGGTAGCACAGCAGACAGGCATCACAGAGGAGAAATAATTTATAGTGGGCAGAAAGCAACCTTTCTGGACCTTAAACGCTTCTTTCTGCCCCTTTTCTGTGCTATGTAGGCTCCAAAATTAGGGCAGTGCCAAACCAATCAGTGGACTGATTTAGTAATCACACATCCTTAATTTCAGCATCTCACACTCTAGATCCAGCCACATGTTAAAAAGCCCCAGCTATGAGCACATGAGGTTTTGAGGGGACATCTAGACACAAGCCATAACAGAACCTGGGTTTGTTTGAAATAAGTGAAAAAGATCTGGCCCCAGTTCTAGTTTCATATGTGGTTGGAGAAGCAGAGAATATTTTTCAAGCCTCCTTCCATAACTGTGGTGCTGTTTTGATGATGTTTAAGCCAGACTGAACAGGCAGCGGTTTGCTAGAGGTTTTTGTTATATAGACTCTGAAACCACATCAGGAACCTTTCATCCTCCTTACATTAAAATCCACTGGTCCAAGCCAGGTATGGTGGTGCACACCTGTAATCTCAGCACTGAAGAGGCCGAGGCAGGAGGATGAAGTTTGAGGCCAGCCTGGGCTACATAGTGAGTATAAGACCAGCCTGAACTAAATACAAGATCCTGTCTCAAAACAAACCAAAAAAAATCACATATGTTAGCACCAGTCCCCCAAAGAGTCCAGGCTTATGAAAGTGGAGGCAAGTTTTCTGTAATCCTGATACTTCACTCTGAAAGCTTGAATTTCATCACTGACCACAGACACTGCCATTTGTTCTCTGGAGTGACAGACACAATTCATTCCTTTTCTGCCAAAAACTTGCATCTGCACAGCCCAGATTTGTCTATTTTCAGCCATGAGCCATTTTTTCAAGTAAACATGATACTTCGTGCAGGAGCCACCAAGTCACCTCCCAGGCTGGCTGCTGGCCTTGGCACTTGGCGGCAGCAGCTCCCTTCATCATGCTTTCTAGTGACCTCACTGTTAGGCGGTCAGGTGTTTGGGGCCAGGCTGTGATGCCAGTGTCCCTGCTGCCACCAGCATGCAGATGTGGCCAGCCAGGCTGTGTCCTCAATGTTATTATGGACAGACCCCCCCAGGGCCCTAGGAGCACACTTTGAGGACCACTGCTTTGGGTCATGGAGTCAGGGTGTCTGGGAGCGAGTGCCTCAGCAGTGACAGACTGACCAGGCATCTGGACAGTGGCTCTCTCAATAACGGAAAGAAGCTGAGAAATAGAGACCAATTGAAAATGACTGAAAACAGCAGTGGTAACTAATACGGCTCCAAACTTGACTCCTCAGCAGTGTTCACCCTGGCCTAGGGTGCACCCTCACTCCCTCCGTGTGCTGTCCCAGCTCAGCCTCTGCCTGCACTGCTACCGTCCTGTTGTCTCCCCACCTGGGTCCCATAGCCCCAGGTGCTCCCTGCACACTCTTGTTATTTCTTCATCTTTAAAAGGCAGCAGAACACACAAAACTTTGGGCCATTCCCTTCTCCTGAGCCCCCATGTTGAGAGCAGCTCCTGAGCTCAGCATAGAGTCTGTGACTTCCCACTTTCCCTCAGGCAGCACCGGCCCCAGGGGCTGGTCTCCTGCACTCTCCTCTGGCTGCAGAATGTCTGCTCCTGGCCTCTTTCATCTAGGTCTTGAGAGCCCTTTCCCGGACAAAATTCTACTGAGAGCCATCCCTTAGGCCAGTCCCCTGCCTCAACACTGGACAAGCATCCAGGTGCCCGGTGGACAGGCTGAACATCTGATGGGCATCACGGCCTCGCTTCTGGCCCTGTCTGCCCTCCCTGCTCTGTCTTTGGAGTCTCCATGGCTGTCATTTCCCTCCTGACTGAGGTCTCTTTCACATGCTATGGTACAGGTTTTTGTCTCCTGCTGAACCTACAGTAGCTGGCGTGCAGTAGATTTTTGTAACATGTTGAGTGGATCAGCATCAATGAATGTAAAACCTGTCATTCTCTAAGCTAATTCTTTTTTGTTAATACAAAATGTGTCTCCTTGAAAATTGGACCCAAAATCCCCAAGCACTAAGCTATGTGCGCACTCTGTTCTAACGTGCTAATCATTGGTTTGGAAATAAGAGAATACATAATATTTTATAAGCTGTTTAAATGAATTAATGGAATTTGGTCGTCACTGGTTGTCCCATCATTTAGGAAGCATAAATGAGAATGGCAAAGGTGTTTGAACCATGACTGCTTATAGCATTGAATACAGTGCTATTTAAATCATCTAAAAATGACTCTTATGTCCAGATGTTGTTGGTATTAGTTAGGTGAGCATCAGCTGTGGTTAAGAATAAGTATTTCAGATTCATACAAATGTGGTGGTATGTGCGTCTCATCTAATCTCAATGCCTACGTTTGAGGTTGCCTTGATTGAACTGGACTTTTAGTTCATTGTGTGTGATCACCACAGTGCCATGTGATGGGAGAGCTGGAGATCCAGGGAGCTGGACTCTCATCTCAACTTTGCCCCCAACACCTGTCACCTTCAGGCTATAAGATGAAGTGGCCAGGCTGCATGATTCAATTCAATTAAATGCTAAAATAACTTGTTTTTCTGCAGCCCTAGTTGAATGTATAGGCTTAATTTCCCATTATGTTCAGGATGGATGTCTTTCACTCCACCCTTCCTGTAAGGGTGTGGGGAGGGCAGGACAAACAACTATAAAGTGTGACAGTCACACTTCTAATAAGTACATTTCTGTTAATATGTCGTTGAAAATTTCAATGAAACCTTTTTGAAACCTGGCCCGATGAAAGTTTTCAGCAACATTGCATTTTATTTATATTTTTTTGGTAACACTGCATTTTAAAAAGAGTCTACTTGTCCACTTAAAGGTTTCACAGTTACTTAACACAGTTACTTTACTTTTTAAAGTAAATAGTATCCCATTGCCCTCTAGCAAACCGGTAAAATGAGGGGAAGCCCAGAAGGCCAGAGAGACTGAGACCAAGTCAGAGTAGAGAGGGGACACAAAGGTATCTTGGTTGTACTTTCTCCTACCTTTGTTTTTATTCTTCTTTTTTTTTTGGTCTTTTTCCTTTTTATCGGTACCGGGGATTGAACTCACAACTGCCTGCTTGCAAGGCAGGCGCTTATGCCGCTGAGCTAAATCCCCAGCCCCCCTTCCTTTGTTTTTTGGCTCACACACCCACTGCTGTTGTGGCTTGGCTCTTGAGAAGCAACTGCTGTGTGCACAAATGATTCTAAAACAGTTCACTTGTCACCTGCTGCCCTAAGGCCATGTGAGGGATGCCTGTCCCTTGAGCTGCTAAGTGTCTTAAATTCTGTCTATGTCGTAAGTTGGGTCCTAACCCACCAGCGTTGGGCAACTCAGCTAATTTGCATGTAACAGTAAGGCCCATTCATTATCAGCTTCCAGCATTTTCAAAATGTTCCACTGTTTTGCAGAGGTGCTCAAGGAGGGCAGCATGCTGTTCCCAGATCTCCTGGTGCGCGAGACGGAGGCTGTCGTACATAAGCACCGCTCAGCCACGTACTGTGAGCAGCTCCTGCAGCACGTGCAGGCCACTGCAGCCGCACAGTGACCATGTGCCAGCATCCAGCAGCTCTGTGGCCTTGAACCTGTATCTGCAGGGCACACGTGTCGGCAGCCCAGATGCACCACAGCACAAGGAAGGCACCCGAGACACCACCCGCCACTCACCCTCCCGACCGTGCTTCTGGCCAGCAATATCTGAGTGACGTCAATGAGTGGGTTTTGTATTTTTATGTGTCAGAGAGGCCTCCCTATGTGTGTATGTCTGTTGAAGCTAAAACTAAATGTCACCTGCTCCCACACTGTCAGCCAAATCAGCTAGTTTCTCATGTACTCCACAATTCTGTCCTGCTTAAATGCCCTCCAAGAAAGTTCTTAACTATTAAAACAAAAAGTGATTAGAAAAAAAACTTTATCATTCTTTGAGTTCTGGCTCAGACCACCAGGAATTTGAAGGCTTGACTGTTATCACTGAAATCTTACCCATTTAAATACATTGGAACATGGTTATAGTATTTTTAAGTTGCAATGCTGACAGTATTGTGATAGAACATTCAGACCTCATTCTGGTCACTTTCTTAGCAGCAATAAAATAAGATTGTATTTTATTCTCCAGCATGTTCTATATCTAAGTGCCTAAAAGATTGTAAGGGGGATATTGTTTCCTTAAGGCAATATTTATATTAACACAGCAGGAAAGGCTGTTATATTTTTTACTAACCACATATTAATATTTGTGCTCTGATGTTGAGATTTTAATTAAATTATTCAAATTATTTTCCTATTTTTATGACTTGATAATTGACTTTTTTTGGAAACAGCTAATGCTTTCTGAACTTTAGCCCGAGTTACTCCAGCCTCAAGAATTATGAGCCGTGGGCTGAGGCAGTAGCTCAGGTGGATAAAGTGTGTGTTCAGCAGCCACAGGCCCTGCAAACTCCCAGCCCCTAGCACAAAAATGAAAGAATTCTGGGCTACATGGGCTTTGTCCACTATTGCTGGCTGTAATATCTCCTCTGGCCACCAGGTGGCAGGAGCTCCAAATGGGTCAGGGCATCGTGACGTGGTCTTGGCACCTCTAGGGTTTACCTTGAGAAGTGTGGGGTAAAGGGGCAGAGGAGGCCAGCCTTGGGGAGATGCGCCCCTTGCACCATAGCCCAACTGACTGCAGCCCCTGGACACTGAATGTCACCTCTGCCCTTTCCTTGGCTCTGCTGCCCTCAAGCTCCATCCCTGTCCTCAGTGACTGCAGAGATTCAGGAAGCCCTTAGAGAGGGCCTTCCCCAGTACCCTCCATCTTTTGTGTCCCCTGCCGTTTCCTTGAAGGGCCCTTAAGGCCCACCCATGCAGTCCCCACCCTTGTCTGAACCAGTCTACTGGCATCTTTACCTGGAAACTTATTAGAAATGAAGTTAGGCGGCCTCCGCCCAGACCCATCCCTGCCCCAGGTATGAGGGCCCAGACACTGCCATCCATCGGATGGATGGATCCTCGTCTCCGTCTCAGGGACCAAAAGTGAACGGCTGAGATCTTGGCTGAGTGACCAGGCACAGGGACTCGGCACGGGTACTGCAATGGTGTGGGAAGGACCAGCGGTGCCTTGTGGTCTCCATTTATCTCCAGAGGAGCTACTGAGAGAGAACTGTTTGTGGTCAGCAGGTGTGAGAAGGACCCAAACCCGGCCACACCGGAAACAGCGTTAATTCTGTGAAATTCCTGTAAATTCATGCAAGTCAGTTAGCAAATGTTTACAGAGCCCTCTGTGCCGGGCACCAGCTGGTGAAGGAGCAGCTCAGCCCCTGAAGTCTGCCTTAACCGCATTACTGAGCTACAGTTTCTAGACTGTAAAATTCTCCTGTTCTAAGTGGACAGTTCAGGGAGTTTTAATAAATTTGTATTGTTCAGCCATCACCACAGCTATGACCTTCTGTCACCGCCTAGCTCTCTATGCCAATTGCTGTTGATCCTCACTTGCCCTCTAGCCCTGGGAAACTGCCAATCTGCTTTTGGTCTCAGTGGTTTCACCTTTTCTAATATTTCATATATGAAGGGAATCATGCAATCTGTGGCCCCATATGTCCGCCTTTTTTCACTGGGCAGAGTTCTTTTGAGATTGGTTATCCAGCTCAAACTAATTTGTAATTAGAAACCTGACCAACAATGGGTGATGTTCTTCACTCTCCACACACCAGGTTCTTCTACAGAGAGAACCCTAGGTCCAGAATAATGTTCAGGATGTCAAAGAAAGTGGTTGATCAGAAAGGTTTCTTAGCTGGGCATAGTGGTAGACACCTGTAATTCCAGCATTCAGGAGGGTGAGGCCGGAGGATTGTCAAGAGTTTGACACTAGCCTGGGCATCCTAAGCGAATTCAAGGCCAGCCTGCTCGATATAGCGAAACCTTGTCCCCCACCCACCCAAAGAAGTTGTCTTGTTAGGAAACGAAAACAAAAAGACGTGTACAAAAGCATTTGTAGTGACTATATTCAAATCCTAAACTGGAAATAAGCCAAAAATCCACTGACAGTAGTGAACAGATAAGCCATAGTATAGCCACATAGCAGAACAACGCTGCAGTCAGAGGGAACAAATGACTGATACACACTTTGACACGGGTGGTACTCACAGATGTCAGGCTGAACTGGACAAGCCTGATGTGAGAGAACATAGCATATAATTTCTTCTGTGTGGGGTTGCAAAGCTGCCTGCAGTAACTCTACAGTCACAGAATCACTGGTAAATATAAGCATGGAAACTAAGAACTTGGAAAATTAAGGCGAAGGCTGAGTGCCGTGGTACGCTGTCTTCTTACTGTTACTGTTGTTGTTATTGTTGCTGCTGTGTGTGGTATCTTCTTTACCAGAAAGCTTGCATTCTAAAGCTAGATCTTTCTTCCTGACATCGCCTCACTTCCCAGGATTCTCTGAACAGTGCCATCCAGACACGGAGGCATTGCCCATGCGGTGCCGGTCAGGAGAGGCAATCGCTGGATGTTACCTAGGGTCATGGGCTGTCAATACCTTTTCCCTTAAAAGCTTTGAGTCATTTGTAATTTTCAAAGCATTTTCAGAGGCCACAGGCAGTGTTTGTATATCATAGAAGGGAGGCACTTCAGGTATTGTCTGTTTACCCTCCTCTCGCCCAGCCATGTCCTTGGCCTTGTACCTTAAGGGTCTAAGCTCTTCCCTATGACTCTTCCTATGAACAAATATGGCTCCAAGAGCTGGCTTGGACACTGAGGTTTGGTATCTGCCCCAAAGGTAAAAGCATTTGCTTATTTGTGCTTTGGTGTCTACACAGGGGTATTTTGTTTTGTTTTCTTCTTCTTTTATAGTGCTGGGGATTAAACCCAGGGTATTTTGCGTGCTATGCAAGTGCCACACCATCAAGCTCCCTGACGCCCAGCCCTCAAAGGTTTTCTTAAAGTCTTGGAAAGTAATTTGAAGAGAGGCAGCACTCAGTGGGTCCTGGTTGACAACAAATGGTAGCTGGAGACAGACGAATCTATTTAGAAGGCTAGATGTTATTTTCCTGGCCTAATTGCTAGTCTAATTGCTCTAACACCCTATGTTAGTTTTCTCTAAGACCTTGTGTTTGTTTAAAAAGTGAGTTGACAGTTACGCTTGGTTTTGTTTGTTTTTCCCAGAGATCAAAACCAGGGCTTTACACATGCTAGACAAAAGCTTTACCACTGAGCTACCTCCCCAGCAGTGACAGTTACATAGTTCTTTAAAAAGTGAATTGACAGGGGCTGGGGATTTAGCTCAGCGGCATAAGTGCCTGCCTTGCAAGCAGGCAGTCGTGAGTTCGATCCCTGGTACCAATGAAAAGGAAAAAGACAAAAAAAAAAAAAAAAAAAAGTGAATTGACAATTTGGGCTAAGATGGAGAGAGAAGGGCAGAGGGACAACAGGCAAATGTAAGCTTGGTGTAGGATGGTGAATGGCCTTTTAAACTAGTGTGGAACCAGGTTCAATGCAAAACACTGACACTTTGGAGTCTACTAATAACAAAGAGGTTCTCCGAAGTTTTTATCCTGATGCTTGCTATCCACAATAGAGGTGTTTTGATCCTGATATTAAGTGCACCGTCCACCTTGCTTCTTGTGTAGCTATGGCTGGTCAAGGCTGTGGCTGAGTAGTCAGCCCACTGGTTTATCCTAGGAAGGCCTCTTGCCCTGAGGGAGCAGTCTTAGTCTCTGCTGCTAAGTAACACCTTTAGTAAATAACCAGCTCCTCAAAGTGCTTCATCCACTACCTTTCTTTAATGAAAGTAATATGTTCAGAAACTGAGACTCCCGTATGCTACTTAAAATCTTTGATGACATCTAATGATAAAACCAAGCAGCAAGTGCTGTTTTGGAGTGTAAACTTGGTCTCTTGAAACAAGCGCACATGAGATTAGCTCCAGCTTCCTGCAGTCTGCTTTCTTCCGGGTACCACAGATGCACCCCACAGGCATCCTAGAAACAAGTCAGAGCAGTGCTGTGACTGCAAGCCACTAGCCCAGTCATGTAGCAGTCTCCCCAAAGCAGCTACCCTTGGCTCCAAGAGCTGCCCTAGAGAGTGAGGGCTGAGTGCCAAGGTACAGAGACTATTCCGGAGCAGCCGCTGTCCCTGCCCTGCCCAGCCACCACCCAAGCTTGCAGGAGCAGAGATGACTAAGGCCAACATCCAGTGGAGGAACCCATTCCCACTTGCCCTTGTGGCAAGAGTACTGTCTTAATTACTTTTTTCATTGCTGAGACACCCAAAATTAAAGAAGAAAAGTTTATTTTAGCTCACAGTTTGTGGAGGTTTCAATCCATAGTTGGCTAGCTCCAAGGCAGGCTGGTGTGGCAGCCGCAGGAAACAGACACCTTCCTGTTGCTTATATTCCATCCAGACAACCCACCCTTTGGGCAGGTAGCACTCACACCCAGGAGGGGGCACTCTTAATTCATCCCAGTATCACATCCTTAATCCCAGTATCACACACCCTAGCACAGTAATCTCTGAGAAACCCCACCTATAATTGGCACCTACATACAGTCCACCACATTGCACCCAAATCACCCCAAAAACCTCATCCAAATCCTTTTATGCAAAAGGCATTTAGTCCATCTCTAAGAGCTGTCAAAGTCCTAGCCGGATGTAGTGGTGCACACCTGTAATTCTAGTACTCAGAGGCCAAGGCAGGAGGATCATCATGAGTTTCAGAGCAGCCTGGGATACATAAGCAACTTCAAGGCCAGCCTGCACTACATAGCAAGACCCTGTCTCAGAAAGAGTTGCTAGAGTCCTAAAAGTTTCAGCATTGCTGAAAAGTTCAAGTCTGAAGTCTCCTTGATTTAAGGCAAACTCTTAGGTGCAAGCCCCTGTACAAAGGAGAAGAAAGTTAAACACTTCCAATCTACAATGACACACGATAGACATTTCCATTCCAAAAGGTACAAATGGGGAAATAGGACCAAAGCAAGTCAAAAATGCAGCAGGGTAAAGTGCTGTAATTCCATGTCCAGTATCCAAGGCAGTTTGTGGCAAGATGTGAACAACAAAAGATCCACCCTTATAGCACCACTTGGGCCAGTTTTGCTCACTCCTTGCAGCTTTCCTCAGTCAATCCACGTTCCTGGCTTCTCCAGCCTTCTGGAGTGTCCTGTGTGAACCTTTGGCTTCACATTCACAGCTTCACACACTGCCCTCTTGTGGGCATACTGCCTGACCTCCCAAGGCTTTCTGAAATCAGCATGGAAACCTGGTTAACCCCACAACTTTTGCATTCTACATGCACATAAAACTAGCACC